ATTTTATATGTTACTTTGTTTGAATTTCTTTTTGACTGCTACGTATTCATATGCTACTTTAATGAATTTAAAATATAATATAAGAAGAGAGAAACATTAAACCCAAATGTAGTCCTTGTGCATTGGAATCTCACCATTCTACTGGTGTAGAAATGGATTAAATTTGATAATTCTGTATTCAGATACTTTTGCATCCACATTTGCTGATCTGTGTCCCAGCAAGGGACTGAAATAGTGCTTATACACACGCTGGAAGACGTAGGGTTAAACATATGACTTGCTTTCATATATTCTATGAAGGGCAAATCTCAGACACAAGCAGAAATCATTATCTGAAAGGCCGCATGATGTGAATCAATTTCAAAGAAATTCTCTGCTTCCTTAGTGAGGGCATATATGGCAGCAAAAACTTACATTTTTGTGGTGATAGTTTAATTTGAGAAGGAAGAAAGAGCTTGCACAAGTAATTTGAAATAAATCATTTTAAGCATATGCATATTCATTCAAAATAATTATACCTGTGTTTACCCAACATTTTTAATTTATCTAGTTCTTTCAGAATGATGTGTTCGGTCACAGTATGCAGTTAGTTTTACAGACTATCTTCTGCAGAACAGAGAACTAGAGAAAACCGCATTTTCAAGACTTTTCTGTTTCCTTTTGTCAGTCATTAAAAAGTATAACCACCCCACTCTGCGTGTGAATTGTTCACGGGGGTATAAATAACTCTCGCGGAGAAGGGAAGTTCTTCTTTGTCCCTCCTGAGTTTAAGGTAGTCCGTTTAGTAGGATCTAGAACCCAGAAAAGTGGCTCAGATGCGATGGAAAATTTGGAAGGACCAAATTTGGTACCAAAATGGTAGCTGAAGTCTGGACATAAGTGCAGTATAGCCAAAGAAGAGTGCCTGTAACGAACAGAAGAGACTGATGGTGGAACTTCGGGGGACGTCCAAGGCAGAAGGAAGTGCACCCAGTAAAAGGGACAGAATCTGGAAATAGGGATGTCACTGACAATAGGAAGGAGCATTCAAGTTGGTGGCCTGAGATCTACTTTGGAGTAAGAAGTTGAATTATTGAAAATTTACCTTGTCTGGCCTGTATTTACCGTCTAGCTCTGTCCTCATCCTCAGTCATTACTTAGATATAAAAAGCTTACCGGTGCGACAATTGTGCCAGTCACACAAGTGATTCTCAACACTTGGTTTATTGGTTTTGCTTGGAAATATTTCATGATTCAGTGAACTATGTACTTGGCCAATTGAATTGCAACTGAAAACTGGAAAGGTTTAATTTACCTGTTTATGCAGTCACTTGAGTGTCTACATTTCCGCAATTTTTCCTTTTAAGGAGATGTGACAACCGGCACCTAGCATATCTTCCAGCCAAGACTACCCATTATTTACACATCTCTCTCATTGATACAGATTTGTGATTTATTTGGTGGATGTCAGAATTGGTTGGTACAATCTGCTTCCTAAGGAGGTAAGAAAATCTCCGGGTTTAAATACATTGTTTACTTGATGAAGTTAAATCAATAAAAACAGTAATATTTCTCCCATACTATGGTGGCTTTTATAAGTGGGAAGAAATTGGAAAATCTTGTTCAGATATGCTTCAGGGTGGTGATATTAGTGTGTTTGGAATAATTCAATTTTTAAAACTAATCCAATAAGACATATTATTTGAGGGGTGTGGTTATCCTTTTTAATGGGGTGATTTATATGGTTTGGACAGAAATGATCAAAGTAATCGAATATTAACTTTCCTCTTCTCTTTTTCATGTTCCATAGATTCAGTTGGTTTAAAAAAAGGTTGTTTGGTTGAATTTACACAAGTTTAGCAATGTGTGCATTAAAGCTGCATTTCCCCAGAATAAAGAACTGATTTCTCAGGCCCTAAAACACACCAGGAGTTAAATACCACTTACCCAGTCAAATAAGAGGTATTTTTGAAGCATTACAAAAGGAAAGAATAGACAAATATTATGGTCCAGTGATTCTGATAAATACAAACGATCCCACACCTTCAATCCAGGACTGAAGCGTAAGCAATGCCGGTTTTCCTGAACTCCCTGGAGAAGAGATAATGGAAATAATTGTAATGCTGGGAAAAAGCTTAGCAAACAAGAGTCTGGTTAGGTCCCCCGTACAATCTCTTACAAAGAAAAAAATCTGCAGAGCCTCACACACAGTGCAAAGCGAGTATTCGAAGTTCTGATTGTTTATCTGAACCCTCCACTGTTTGGCTGCGTGCCCACCTTCAGGGCAGACCCTGTCATCCTTGGCATGAAACAGAATGAGGTGATCTGAACCTAGGGGTCTGTTTCTTCTCTGGATGCATGTGTACAATTCCTATTAATTTTAATGAGAATTATGTTTGCACATTGAGGCAGGATAAATCCCTTCGGGAGGAATCTTTCCCTTGGATGCATACGCGTAATTTCCATTAAAGGGACAAAACCCCAGGGGAAACATACATGGGCGCCCGAGGGCAAGCTCTGA